AGTCTGTGTGTGCAGTCTGGGGACAGTGGAACTGCAGGAGGGGATGCAGTCTGTGTGGGCAGTCTAGGGGCTCAGACTTCCTGGGTTGTGCTGATATTGGGTTCGGTCTTTGAGGTTCTCGCTGAGACTGTGATTTGTGCACTGCAGGCCCTGAAAACCAGAATCAGCAACCTGCCCACTGTGAAGAAGTTTCTGCAGCCTGGCAGCCAGCGGAAGCCTCCCGAGGATATGAAAAGCATGGAAAAAACATTGAAGATTTTTAGGATGTAATACAGCAGGCATGGAAGCAAAGCAAATGCCAGACTAATCTAGTAACATTTAACAACAATGTGGTGCTAGCCCCATGCTGATGGAGGCTATTGTGAAGCTAATAAACTTTGCAAATAATTTGCCAATCAAACAGAAAATCTCCCGTGAGCAAACTTAGTTACAATTCATTCTTTTTCATTAGGATCTGATATCTTATTTCCAATGTCCTGACCTACCTCTCTCTTGGAATTAAAAACACAGTATAAAAGGAAAATGTACATTAAGTGGCTTGTTTCCCTTCTGCACAAATTCTCTGTAACATTTGATATACAGCCTATCACAAAATCATGCATAGAAATTCACATCTGACATTTGCAGGTGTATCTTGGAAAAGTGTTACTATTCTGGGGACAGCATAACAAAATTTTCTTCTTCACATCACCAGCGGATGTGACAGCTGCACAGCTTGATCACCTCCAGGGCGGAGCACTGAGTCTGGGCTTGGAGAGCTCACAACCACCCCACCCCGCCAACACACACACACTCTCGGGCATGCTCTGAGTCATCATCCTGCCCTTTCTACATGCACAGTTACTCACCTCACTCAGATGCTACCTGTACACCTTGCTTGCGCGCTGAGGAAAATAAACCTCCAGCAATGAAACCTTCAGGGGACTGTTACTTGAATCGGAACACTGAGTACTTGATGCAATTTAGAAATTATAAAAGTTCAATGTTAAAAGAGAATAGTACGATTATTCTTAGAAGAGAAACCCGACTTTCCATAGATATGACTGTTATTTATAGGCAAGGTGATACAGTGTCTGGAATTTGCTTCAAACAGTCCCATGGTCGAGGAAGGAACAGGTGGGAGTTTTCCTTCATTTCTCATGACTCCTGTCACAGATTACTACAAACCAGGTGGCTTGAAACAACCTAAATGTTTGTTTGTTTGTTTTCAAACTTCTGAGGGCCAGAAATTGGACATGGAGGAATCAGAGGGCCATGTTCCTTTGTAAGCCCTGGGCCAGACTCTCCTACCTCTCTCAGTGGCATTTCTTGACTTCTGTCCTGAAGGCGCTAGAGGAATTTCACCCCAAAATACGATTCCTTGGTATAAAGAATATTTTGAATTAAAGTCCATCCATGATCGGAAAGCATTGGAGAAAGCCTTTCCTCTATCTACATAAAACCTGAGTAACCTGATTCAGAGTCAGGTGGGGGCTGCGGACTTTCTTACTGCATACCAATAGACCTGGCCTGAAGGTCTTTTGAAGCAGGGGACCTGTCTTTCAGGTTAACTTACAAATCAATCTGTTTCCACCCAGCTACACACATGCCCCCTAGCAACCACTTGCTGCCAGTGTACTTTCCACACTGTCCCTCCTCCCTTCTAAACGGCATCCTTAAAAGTCACTGACCATCACTGAGACTTTGGCAAATCATTCTTGTGATTTCCCCCCATGTGCATGGTATTTGGAAATACACCTTTCTCTTAATTAATCTACTGCAATTGTGAGTTGATCTTTTTTTCAGTAAACCAACCAAAGGCAAAAGGACAAGTTTCACCCTCAGGTTCAGCATCTCCCCTCTGAGCATCCGTGTCTTCTCCTCCTTCTCTTAATCAGGACCCTTGTCACTGGATTGGGGGCCCACCTAGATAATCCAGGATGAACTCATCCCAATTTCCTTAACTACATCTGCAAAGTCCATTTTCCCTAATAAGGTCATATTCATCGTATCTGGGATTTAGACATGGACCTATCTTTTTCTGGGAACGACATAACTTTGCCCACTACACACCATAGGTGAAAAAAGATTATTGACAATTGCTGAGACAGGGTGATTGGTTTTTCAGCTTTTGCTATATTATTTTCTCTACTTTTGCATTTGCTAGACATTTACCAGGTCAATGCAAAAACTATCTTCTATCATGAGATCCTATCATGGCCAGGTTTCCAGCAGACTATGAGGACTTGACTCACAGAAGATGAAAGCTCTGGTCCAGGAGCTCAAAGTCTATGCAGGAAACTGATACTAAAAAGGTAATCGCAAGGTAATGTAAGCAAAGGCATGCTAAGAAAACACAGTCGTAGATAACAGTACAGTATTCCAATCAAGACAGACTGCAGGTGCAAAGGCTCAGGGGCCAGGAAGGATAAACTGAGGCAATCATAGAGAAGAAGTCTGCAAAATACGGTTGCCAGATTTGGCAGATGGAATATTCGACACCAGGTAAATGTGACATTCGGGTAAATAATTAAAAAAATTTTAATATAATTGTGTTATAGAAAATGTTTGGGACACAATTATACTAAAAAATTACAAATTGCCTGAAAGTCTCATTTAACTGAGTGTCCTGCATTTAACCTGGCAACCCAGTAAGAAAACTCCCCCAGAGTCTTGTCAGCTGGTCCTTTGCAGACATCGCCTCCTGGCTACATATGCCCACGGTAACGGTTTTCATCTGCCTTGGTTCTTGCATCCAAGTCTTGGAAACCCCACAGTAAAATGCCTTTACAAAGCCAGTCTCAGTCTCTTTAATAAATGGTCCTGGGAACACTGGACATCTACATGCAGAAGAATGAAACCTGGACCTTAGCTCAAATCAAAATAATTAACGATTTAAATCTAAGATCTGGATCTATGAAACTCGTAAAAGAAACATAGGGGAAAGGCTTCCAGACATTGGTCTGGGCAAGGATTCCTTGAGTATTACCCCCAAAGCATAGGCAACCAGAGCAAAACTGGACAAATGGGATTACGTCAAGACAAAAATCTTCTGGTTTGCAAAGGAACCAATCAACAAAGTGAAGACACAACCCACAAAATGGGGGAAAATATTTGCAAACTACCCATCACAGAAGGGAACTAGAGTAGATAATGAGTTAACAGTTAACAGGGAACCTTATCTTAGAGTAGATAACATGACAACTAGAGTAGGAAAAAATAAAACAATCTGATTTAAAAATGGGCAAAGGTGGCTTGGCGCCTGTGGCTCAAGTGGCTAAGGCGCCAACCACATACACCTAAGGTGGCAGGTTCGAATCCAGCCTGGACCCGCCAAACAACAATGATGGCTGCAACCAAAAAATAGCCGGGCGTTGTGATGGGCGCCTGTGGTCCCAGCTACTTGGGAGGCTGAGGCAAGAGACTTGCTTGAGCCCAGGAGTTGGAGGTTTCTGTGAGCTGTGAAGCCACGGCCCTCTACCCAGGGGGACAGCTTGAGGCTCTGTCTCAAAAAAAAAAAAAAAGGGCAAAGGATTTGAATAAACAGTTCTCAAAAGAAGACAAACACATGGCCAAATGTATTTGAAAAAATGCTCAGCATCATTAGTCATCAGAGAATGGCAAACCCAAACTACAACGAGATATCATCTCACCCCAATTAAAATGGCTTTTATCAGAAAGGCAACAGCAACTGCTGGGGAGGATATGGAGAAAGGGGACCCTCATGTGGTGTTGGAGGCAATGTCGATTAGTGTAACCACTATGGAGAGAGTATGGAGTTTGCTCAAAAAACTAAAAATAGGGTAGCGCTGTGGCTCAGTGAGTAGGGCGCCGGCCCTCTATACC